GATATGATTTCTCTAGAGGGCCTCAGGAAAGCCATTCTCTCTCAGCCTTAGTCCGCCATCTGCAATATGGAGATGACTATACAGTGGTACCTCAGGTTACATACGCTTCAGTTTACATACGCTTCAGGTTACAGACTCTGCTAACCCAGAAATAGTGCTTCAGGTTAAGAACTTTGCTTCAGGATGAGAACAGAAATTGTGCTGCGGCGGCACGGCAGCAGCAGGAGGCCCCATTAGCTAAAGTGGTGCTTCAGGTTAAGAACAGTTTCAGGTTAAGAACGGACCTCCGGAACGAATTAAGTACTTAACCCGAGGTACCACTGTACAGATCTGCCTTGCTGGGCTACTGCTGAGTGGATTCCTAAAATTATATGAAGTATGCCTATTCCCAGGTTAACTAACAGGGTCAGCTCGGGCGAAACAAACCAAATTGGGGAGTAAAAGTTAAAGGACCCCTGGATGATTAAGTCCAGACAAAGGCGACAATGGGGTGAGGTGCTCATCTTGCTTTTCAGGCTGAGGAAGCCAGCATTTGTCCACAGACAGCTTCCTGGTCATGTGTCTGGCATGACTAAACCTGCTTCCCCATGTTGCCTCTGCCTCCCCATGTCTGTTTATCCCCACCCACTGCCTTATTATCCTGCAGCAATGGGCAGGATTTTGTGTTTTCCTTACCATTGGTGGGTGATGTGGATGGACACAAGAGGGAGGAATGGGTGGTAACAGCTGTGGCTATCTCATCTCCTGCCTTACTAATGTGATTAAAGGTAAATATCTATTCTCCAGACTGAATTATAGCAATTTCATCAGTTCAACATAAGAGTTGCCAGTTGGGGAGAAACCCAGCCTGCCTCAACTCTGCGCCTTTGACAGAGGCTTGATCTGCAAAGATCTGCAGGTGAAGCTTGTCGTGACGCCAAGCTAAATACCTGTAAATCAAATTTTTGATAAAGATAAAAGCCGCTGCAGAGATGGGTTCAACAGTTGGCAATCCCCAACTACACCGCAAGGCACAGTGCCAAGGACTGAGTGAACTTTCAGCTCTACTAACAGAAAACAATGAGCCACATCTTATCAATAGCTCCAAGGAGTGTGGGTTGTAGTGGAGAAGTCAAGGGATGGTGAATCTCTTTCCCCCACTATTACAGAAGTTAAATGTTTTACCACCTAAGTCTTCAAGCTATAAAGTATGTTCTCGAGGCAGAGTCTTATCCAGTCTTGAATTTACCTAAACTAGGGCCAAACAGAGGGATAACCGTGAGTAAGCCCAAAATGAGGCATGACTTAACTAATCATGAATGAGCCAAAGTAGATAAATGCATTGTTGTGCACAGTCTTAAAAATTCAAATAGCATCTACTAGGGGGGAGGGGTTAATAATGATTATGATTGCACCAGTCAGCAGGCATGAAGGAGAAATTTAATGGCGAAACTGGATGCCTTTATCTGCCCCAGCTATAACAAAACATGTCTCTCTCATATTGGTCTCTATAGCTACGGCAGGCGCTGTAACTCACTTTACCCCGATGATGCCTTCTTCCATTGTTTCTTGAGACAGACAGATGCCAACACTATTAGCTCTGTTTACTGAGTTTTAATTGTAATGAAGTATTTTGTGTTTTTGTGTGTGTTTTTTTGTATTCCTGATTGTAAGTTGTCATGAGATCATTTTTGATATATGGTAATCATGATTTATCATCATCTGAAAAAGTGGCAACTCCTGCCTGTTCTTCCCCGGGGTCTTTCACTTCTTGTCCTCCTCTGCCACCTTCATGCAAGAGTCCTGTTTGCTACTTCAGCAAAAGGGAAGGCAAAAGAACCTTATAGTGGGAGAGCTGTAGCTCAGCATTAGAGCTTTTCTTGTAGAAAGACCCAAGTGTAATTGCTGGCGTCTCCAGACAGGGCTGGGAAAATCCCCTCTCTGAAAATCCCCTGTTGGAAACCTTGGAGATCAGCTGCCATGGGTCTAGGCAGATTTTACAGTTGCTTCATGTGTAGCTATAAATCTGAAAGTATAATTCTGTAATGTGGCTATGTACTGTAATTATACTCTAGGGACGCGGTGATGCTGTGGTCTAAACCACTGAGCCTTGGGCTTGCTGATTGGAAGGTCGGCGGTTCGAATCCCCACGACGGGGTGAGCTCCCGTTGCTCTGTCCTAGCTCCTGCCAACCTAGCAGTTCGAAAGCACGTCAAAGTGCAAGCAGATAAACAGGTACCGTTTCCGTGTGCTGCTCTGGTTTCGCCAGAAGCAGCTTAGTCATGCTGGCCACATGACCTGGAAAAACTGTCTGCAGACAAACGTCAACTCTCTCGGCCAGTAAAGTGAGATGAGCGCCGCAACCCCAGAGTTGTTCATGACTAGACTTAACTGCCAGGGGTCCTTTACCTTTTTTTAATTATGCTCTGGTTCATGCATCTATGTTGATAGTGTTTTTGAAACTGTATGCAAGATTCATTGTGGCATCTATTTGTAAGAGCCAATGTGGCATTGTGTTTAGAGGATCAGACTAGGACAGAGGAGCCCCAGTACAAATCCTGCCGACCAGAAAATTCACAAGATACCTAGGCCTAATCTATCTCTCAGGGTTGTTGTGCTAATGATAAAATGTGGGGATAGGACATAACCACATATGTCAACTTGAGCTGCTTGGAGGAAAGGGGATCATAAATAAATGTAATAAATAAAATAATTTAATATCAATAATACTGATACTGCTGCTAATAAAGTGCTTAAGAATAGCACTTGATTCATAGGTGCCAGTCAAAGAAAAACAAAAACAGGTTTGCAGCCTCCTGCATTTTAAGATGAACTTTGTATTCTGACCACCTGATCACTCATATGAGACATTTTAATCTGTTCAGGTCAGGTTAAACTCAAGCTGTAAACAAAAGGTTAGTCATCCTTAATGTTAGGATTGTCATATCTTTTTTTTTTTTTGTACAGACCTTGATCTGGGGTTTGTAACTAGTTCTGAGCTGAATAATTTGGCCCCGACATGTTTATCTGATTTTAGGGAGGATTAAAAACACCTACAAATATTGGATTAATATTTGTAGGGGGGTAGACTTTAAAGAATTTTCATTTCTTACCTTTAAAGACAAGATGGCCAAGGGTTGCTTTTTGTTTCTGTTTTCATTCTAAGGGGTATTCTGACCCAGGAACACAGCAAGACTGCTATTATAAAATGAGAAAGAAAGAAAGAAAGAAAGAAAGAAAGAAAGAAAGAAAGAAAGAAAGAACACTCCAACCATCTCATGTGTGAAGGTAAAAAAAAAAAAAAGACTATAAAACTTTAACACACACACATACCACATAAGTTGTCAAATATTCATCCAGCCATTGATGAGGGGGTAAATAGTCCTGTGAAAGTAGGGGAAAGAAAGATAATCAGCCTAGCTTGAAGTTTCTCTCTACCTCTTTCTTTCTTTCTTTCTTTCTTTCTTTCTTTCTTTCTTTCCTTCTTTCTTTCTTTCTGCCCCCACCCATGTCTTTCTTATTGCCTCTTCATGATGTTATTGGGGCAATTCTGCTTTCAAAACTCCATACACCTGCTAGCGTTTTGGGGTGGTCATACAGCTTCATTTCTATTCAGTGCATATCCTGTAACTTCAGTGCACAAATCACACAACTTTTTAGACCAGAAATGTTGTGTTTTATTTTTGTCCCGTTTCTGTTGCGCTATAACCTCTCCAAATGGCAATAACATAGTAGCATTGGGGAAGCACTACAGAGCCAAATCCAATTTATTGTTCTCACCCAAAAGGCCTTCATGAAAATATGTGACTTTGATTGCACAGGAGCAATTATTTTAAGATGATGCTGTCAAAGGCACTGTAGCAGGGGTGTGGGAAAGTGACCTTACTGATAAGTTTTCAGAGAAGCTTTTTTTTGGAGGGGGAGGAACTAGACTCTGTGAAGCATAGTACAAGTCCCTGTTCTCATAATACTGTATGCAGAAATGCAGCTGTGCTGGTTTTGGGGATATGTTACATTATAGTCAAGTAAGATGTGAACAAAGAAACCTTATTATGTTACAAAACTGCCTGCACTTTAACAGGGGCTAAATCAGTACTCAACAGTAATATATTAACTAACAATAAAGACGGGCTTAATCCTTTACATAAGATTAGGGCAGATATGCCTTTTGCAGAGACGCTGCGATGTTTTGTTGCAGTTCCTGCTTGTGGAATCTTTAGAATTTTGCTGAGTGAATCTAGGCCTTTATCACCATCCGTTTGTCATAGCTTGATCAATTGTGTCCTGTGGACATTATCTAATGAAGGTAGCCAGATGCAAAAGGCGATGGGGCTCCTGTAGACTTAATACTTGTGTAGAAAAATTAATGGTCAGGCAAGCTGCATCCGCTGGTTTCCCCCCGTTCTGTTAAACACAGTAAATGTTCGCGAGCCCTGCTTTCTTTTGCATTTGGTGACCCTATTCAGGCGGCAGCCACTTTGTGCTAGTGTGATGTGTGTGATGTGTGTGATGTTTTGGACTCAGAAGAGGGCAGAATGGGAACAGAATGGGGCATGGCTGGCTGGTTTGTGCAAAGCATGGAGTTTCCCCCAATCTGTGAATACAGTGGTACCTCTGGTTACGAATGTAATTAGTTCCGGAGGTCCATTCTTAACCTGGAACCGTTCTTAACCTGAGGAGCTACTTTAGCTAGTGGGGCCTCCCGCTGCCACTGCGCCGCCGGCACGCGATTTCTGTTTTCATCCTGAGGTAAAGTTATTAACCCGAGGTACTACTTCCGGTTAGCGGAGTCTGTAACCCGGTGTTTCTAACCCGAGGTACCATTGTACAGTGGTACCTCGGGTTACATACGCTTCAGGTTACAGACTCCGCTAACCCAGAAATAGTGCCTCGGGTTAAGAACTTTGCTTCAGGATGAGAACAAAAATCGTGCTCCGGCGGCACGGTGGCAGCAGGAGGCCCCATTAGCTAAAGTGGTGCTTGAGGTTAAGAACAATTTCAGGTTAAGAACGGACCTCCGGAACAAATTAAGTACTTAACCTGACTGTACTTTCTTTTCATGCTTGGGCAGCATAAGGAGTACTGGCATTTGGATATTAAGATCAATCTTAGCGTATATGGTATCAGCAGCTCTACAAAAGTACCCAGATTCTTTAAAGTTTGTCAGGTTTCACACAACTGCAAGTCTCTTTTGGTGTGTTGTGCAGTCTGTTTTCCTACCATATGCCACATAACAGGACCGAGGTTTTGTGATTTGGCCTCCGAGTTACAGGATTCTCTCAACTTTTCTGTTTTGAAGAAATTAGCATTTGGTCTGCAGGTGGCAAAATGTTTTTGTTTGTTTTTTAAATTCTGACACTGACACCTGTTTGTGCAGAAATAAAAACCGCCTTGCAGCAGACTTTTAGCCTTCCTGGGCTTTTACAGCTGTCACTGGGAGAGCCACAAGCAAAGCTTGTAAACCATTTTTTATGGCCTTCTGTTTCAGTGGAACTGAAAAAAAATTGCTTTGTTTTTAAAAGAGTGCTTTGAAGTCAAAGATACCTGACAATAAAATAACCTAAGAGAAAAATATATCCAGCCACAAACAATATCTTCAAATATAGATGTATCCGAGCTACAGAGAACTGTCCTACTGCTACTCTGGACTGTTGTGTGGTTTACAGGATCTGCTCCTAAACTATGGACTGAGGGCAAAGAATACGGTAACCTTGCTGAAGCTAGTGTGGTCTGGATCTGTCCATTGCCTTGATGGGAGACTGATCTATGTCACCTTGAGTTTTGTGATGGAAGAAAGGCAGAATACATATGTACTAAACAGATGTATCAACGTAGTTCACATTCTGTGTAATGATGCATGTTGTCCTCAAAAACTCAAGAGGAAGTTGATCAACTTTTTCTTAAGTATGCCTATTCACCAAATAACACATCTTGCAACATTTCCTGGGTGATAAGAAAATTAAGATTGTCAGGCTTTCCCCCTGGTTTTTGTTTTTTTAAGGAAGCAAAAATAGCAGGCCTGATAGTGTGCTTTTAAAAAAGGATTGATACTGTATGCAGCAGTCAGCTGCAGATAAAAGTTTTTCATGAAAGAAATGTTTTCACTAGCTAATTGTTGCAGGTCAATGTGCTATTGAAAAGTTGGATTGCTGCTTCTACTTTCACTTCTTCATTGTAATATGAACATATGGAGAAATACGAAGTGCATCTGGACTAACTACCGTTTCTGGTTGAGGTACCAGTTCCTTTCTTTTTGAAGCTACACTTACCAAGATATATAAAAATTTAAAATATAAAAATTAGCTTGGCCAATCTCCAACCGACATAGCCTTTCTGGATCAGATTCATATTGTTATATAGTTGGGGTACCCGTGTCTGCTGGGCCTCGCCAAAGTTGATGGGCATTGCCATTCAAATGGTGTGTGTGCGCACTGTGTCATATGATTATGTAGGGCTTACCTACGCCCCCCCCAATTTTATTCAAGTTGGCACCCCTGTTCTGGGCATTCCTTCTGGCCAGTTTATGAAAGAAGGAAGAAGCCGTATCATAAAAGCGCAGAAATCCAAAAGGGCACTTAGCTGCCCAGATTTATTACACCGTCCTTATTTAGAGAGTCCAGAGAGCACGCCTTCCCCTTCAGTAGGAAAACTGCTGCTGCTGCTACTCCCAGCTAGAGAAGACAGAGGAGCTTCTTTGGGTGACCTGTTTATTAAGTATTCATTTTGATTTCATCCCATAGGTTCAGGGCAATCAGACATGTTTTATGGAATCAATTCTAGGGTGAATCCAAGCACAGCAACAGACCCACTAAATCTTCCGTGTGTTCCTGTTATGCTCTCATGAGTTTGCAGCGTCAGATTTTAGTCACTGCATGCAAAATACAGTGGGATGCACAATTTGGCAGTCTGCTGGGCCCCGGCTTTGGAAAGGCTGAGAGATATAGCTTGGATGCCCTCCATATTTTATGCATTATTCAGAGTGGTGTTTTCCCCACTCCCTTCTGTCTTCAAGTGGTGCAGTTCTTTTAAATCGGATAACAGTGTGCAGGACAGCATGAAGTTCAGTGTTACACTGTTCTTGCTTTCATGGATTGGGCCCTATTGAAATGTTGTCCTGTGAGCCACCTTCAGGGTCACTGGTGGAAAGACAGGGTAGAAATGTTTTAGGATCAAGGCAGACAGAATTTAGATCAGGATCTACTGGTAGATCTATGGATTACTTGCAGTGGATTGGCAAGAGTTTCCAACTCCCAGTTGTTTAACAATGGCAAAAACAACGTTTTTACTAACTAAACTTGGCTGTTGCAATGATGAAAGCTAACCTGGAGTGGACTTCTATGTGAAAGGACTGTGAGCTCAGCTCAACTCAGTTCTGCTACTGAAAAGAAATTCTTAGGTTCAGAATATGCTCAGAGGCACCCTGATCTTTAATTCTAACTGATTGTCTTTTGCACCTGCCTCAAGCTGGTGGGTGTCGGGGTTCTAGTAAAAAAGTAAAGCAGATCTAGCCATCTTTAAGTCTGCCCATCCTTTTAAAATGATAAAACAGGAAATACAAGTGCCAAACTCTTGCCCTTGGTCCTTGGGTGGCACACGCTTTGGTGCTTTTCTGGTAGTTATGAAAGGTTGTAGGCATAATAAGGTAATTCGTGGAGGTGGTGCAAGGAGACAACATTGTACCCAAATGCCTGGGGGTATGTCTTAAGCGGTTTCAGATTTAATGGCTCACCACATGGTGGGGAAACTGTTTAGGAATGTGCACACATGTGTATGAATGTGAGAGATCTGTGTGCAAGGCCAGCCCTGTCATTAGACATAGTGAGGCAGCTGCCCAAAGGCAGCAGATGCAGGCGACAGGTCTCCCCCTGCTCCCCCTGCTCTAAGCTACCCTTATTGCCCTCCAGCATGGTGGATGCTGTCCCACTGCCATTCAGTAAGATACAATTGACAGTTCAGTTAGCTTCTGCATGTGGAACAGGAGCGGGAGGGATTGTATTTGCCTCAGGCAGCAAAATAACTTGACCCATGCACTGATTTATTTGTGTGCATGTTGCGTTGCGGTTGTGGTTTCCTTAAGTGTAAAGTTGAAGTGAAAGAGGAACAGAAAATGACTTGCAAATTATTTGCAGAACAAGTTAAGATGTGTACACAGAGCTAAACTGCAAAAGGAAGGTGCTGGAAAGTTAGGTCAAGGCAATGTCCCACTTGAGGCAGCAACAGGCTTTTCACTTGGGGGAAGAGCAGTGTCACTCCCCCCCCCCCCAGCACCTTGCATCTGCCACACACCAGAAGGTGACACCTGAGGCGGCTGAGTATGGGTCCCTCAGAAGGCCTCAAACCACTTTTCACCAGTGGGGAAGGAAGCTCATAAGTGAACTCTGTCACCATCTAGTTAAACCAGCTCTTAAATTTCCCCTAATTCATGGGTGCCACATGTGCTATTCTATTCTATCTCACACAGCCATCTGGGGATGAAAAAGAGGTAACAACAAAGCAGTTTAGGGCAATGAGATTTTGTGGGACTGAAGGCAGCTGTGATATCAGGCAAGAGGGTTAAATCCCAAGATACTTCACATGGGGGGGGTGTCGGTGTACTTTTGCTATGCAGTTAATATTTCTGTTTCATATTTCAAGGAAGCCTGTGAATTTTCACATCTTTGGAGTGACTTCTTTGGGCATAGTTTGATGCATGAAAACTGTCAGGAGAATATTTCCTGTGTACACGTTTCATGGGTGCTTACTTTTTATTTTGCTCGTCCACAGCAAATGTGGTATAGTGGTTAGAGCGTTGGACAGAGACCTGGGAGACCAGGGTTCAAAGTCATATAGCTCACGGGGCAACCTTGCACCAGTTGCTGTCTCTCAGCCTAGCCCTACCTCACAGGCATGTTGCGAGGGAAAAACGCAGAGTGGGGAGCCACCTTGAGCTCTTTGAAGGAAAGGTGGGATACATAAATGTTGAAACAACAGCTACAGCTGTTTTCCTTTGTGTGTGTCTTGGTTAATGCCTAATGTAAATAATCACTGAAGGTCACAGTATTTGCTTTGGATTAGAAAAAAACCCACTATGCCATTTTTCCAATTGCAGAATTAGCTGCAGCAGTCTTTTGTGTGTCTCCTAAATTGCCTGAGGATTTTTCTTAACAAATGGCAGTATACAAATTCACAATATTATGATAATGGATGAATCCCATGGGTTACAATGCTCGTGTGAGTTAGGACTCATTTTCCCCAACCCCAACATCCAGCATGGATGTGTATTTTCAGGTAGTGTGCATCAATGTTATTGAGCCTCTTCCTTCAGTTAGCATTTCCACATTCCACTATGGGTATGGATCCCCCCCTTTTTAGATACAGCTTTCCATAATAATAATATAATAATAATTATAATACTGTAATTATAATTTATTATTTATACCCCACACATCTGGCTGAGTTTCCCCAGCCACTCTGGGCGGCTCCCAGCAGAATATTAAAAACATGATAAAAGATCAAACATTAAAAACTTCCCTAAACAGGGCTGCCTTCAGATGTCTTCTAAAAGTCAGATAATTGTTTATTTCCTTGACATCTGATGGGAGGGCGTTCCACAGAGTGGGTGCCACTACCAAGAAGGCCTTCTGTCTGGTTCCCTGTAACCTCACTTCTCACAGTGGGAACTGCCAGAAGGCCCTTGGACCTCAGTGTCCAGGCTGAACGATGAGGGTGGAGATGTTCCTTCAAGTATACTGAGGCTGTTTAGGGCTTTAAAGGTTAGCATAAGGTTACCAGACATCCCTGTTTCTTGGGGACAGTCCCCGGATTTACAAATCAGTCCCCATACAAAATCCATTGAAGTTGAAAAGTGCCCCCGGATTCATTAAAAAAAATCTGGTAACCTTAGCTTAGCACCAACACTTTGAATTGTGCTCAGAAATGTCCAGTATACCAGACTTTCACAATGCAGTGCAAGAAAGATACAATTCACATGCATTTTCATTTGTACACACTCGGGCTGAAGTGCAAATCTATTCAGTTTTAAAATATCTTTTTGCATCAAAACTGGTTTGTGCAGGGGAATGCATGCATTAATTCATTGAAAGAAATGGGGTGTGTCTGGATTGGGATTGACCTCATGTATACAAAGCTGAAAACAAACAAGCCCAGCACATTCAGAGTGTACTGAATGCACACTAAACCATAGAGCGTATGGTTATCTAGCGCTTGGACACTAAGACGAAGTTTCCTTGTCTATGTTTTCTATGTACAGGTCAGCAGAGGGAGCCAAAGCATAATACTTTATGTCATGATCTTGGGACCACAAGGAACTCCATGACTCAGTTAGTGCTTATGCTGCCAGTACCTAAGGCAGTGTCGTGCTAAGTAGCACCCTCCAGCAAAAAGACAAGATCCAACCCAATAGAAAGGACAACAATTAGCTATTAGGACTAAAGCCCCAAACAATTTTAAGACGTATTTATTTGCCATTGTTATCTGAGGCTTTGTAGCAGGAGTTGGGAAATGGCTCCAATTGTCAGGCTGGATCACTATTTACCCCATTCTTGGTGAGCCAAGTTTGAGTGGCGTAAATCACCTGACACCACAGTGACACCTGTTTTTCCCTCCTGAGTCTCAGGTAGGGGTGGTCAGCATTCCTTCCTCTGATCAACTAGCAACAGTGATTCAATGCCCTGGAATACGTGAGTTACCTGCTGGTGGACTCATCATCCTTCACAACTGTCTTGTTAATAACGTAGTATCACTGTACTCCAGCCACTCACTGAAGAAAACTATTGGATTTTGTTGGCTGCCTAAGGTAGCCAAGTGATTAGGAAGAAAAAGCAACCCCACCCGTGCAGTTGTGCTTCTAACTTCAGCTCTGTGTGGATAAATTAACAGGTGAAGCTTTTCATGGCATGGAAATAAGCGTTATTGCCTGCTAACAACTGCATATCAATCCACTGCTAAAAGTACAACTGCAAAGCTCAGCTGAAAAGTTGGCAGCCCTGTGATGACCAGTGTTGGTCAAAGTTTCTTGGTCTCAAAAGTTGTCAATAAGAATCCTTTTAGGCTCAATGGTCTGCAACCCAATTGTTCCTTCCTTATTTCTCCAGTCCTGCCTGGGTGGCAACATCCAGAACCTAAAACAGCAGCTAAGTGAGTCACCTTTTGGAATTGATGGCTTTTCCCATTGCAGCACTACAGGGACTAGTGGTGCGTCCCAGTGGAAAGTCGTGTTTGTGTGTATTGAAGGTAAAGTAAATAATCCGTTCACAACTGTCTAAAGTGGCCTGGCTCCAAAGAACTGCACAACAAGCTACCCAGGGGAAATTTGGACGTGTTTCTCAAGCAACAGCTCCCCAAGCCACAAGGTAAACTTCGCTTGTTTTGAAATGGAGGGGAGTTTCCTAAGCAGTTTGTGATGTAGCATAATGGTCTGCCATTCAAAGGGTGTGTGTGAATTCTACTGAGCATGCCCAATGCCTTGATTGCATCTAAAGTAGCTCTTTGGATCCCCGCCAATGAATTTCTCAGTTCATTCTTTGCAACTTAAGTATAGGTTTGCTTAAAAAAAAAATTATTATATTCGATTTTAAAAGGAGATTCTGGTTCTCATTAAAGACTGTTTTGTTAATGGTTGTGCTGTAGGCAATGCACATCTCTTATTCATTTATTTAATGAATTAATAGGTCGTCGTTCAAAGTACACCAAGGAAGTGCACTAGGGGGAGCTGGCTTCAAGCGGCAGGCCCGTTGGCAGACCAACTCTGTGTTTACAAAGATCTCTGCAAAAGTGACTTCAAGGCTGATAACATCAACCCTGCCGTGTGGGAATCCCTAGCGGATTGTATCAGGTATTGTATTGTGTCAAGTATAGTCAGGTATTGTATCCACAGCAGTGACCAGAGGAGGAATGGCCTCTGGGAGAAGCACAGGGAGAAGGAAAAGCCATGATGTATTTGCAGCAACACAACTCGATACCTTCATCTGCCCCAGCTGCAATAATAAAACATGTCTCTGCCATATTGGTTTCTATAGCCACAGCAGGCGCTGTAACTCTCCAACTGTTTGACTTCAACTCCAATAGGCGCATTCCTCTATTGTCTCCTGAGGTAGGCGGAAGCCAACCACAACAAAAAAAAGGACACCATCTCCCCCTTGGTGGCTTACAACATTACAGTCATACCTCATGTTACGTTTGCTTCAGGTTACATGTTTTCAGGTTGCGGACCGCGGGAAACCTGGAAGTACTGGAACAGGTTACTTCCAGGTTTTGCCGCTCGCGCATGCGCAGAAGTGCTAAATTGTGCCTGCGCAGATGTGGCGCTTCAGCTTGCGGACGCTGCGGGTTGCGGACGTGCCTCCGTCACAGATTACGTCTGCAACCCGAGGTTCCACTGTATTATGATTATTACTTCATTCCACGTAGAAACTGATCCCTATGAAACATCTCAAAGTGATATAACAATAAAGACATCAACAAATAACAACAACAGAAGAAGCAATTCCATATGTAAAAACAAGTTCAAATCCAATGTAGACCGGGATAAATATCTGCACTTGTTTGAAAAAGACCACCTTCAACAGGCGCCAAAGAGAAATAGAGGCTGTGTCTGTCTGATATACCACCGGACGGAGCTTCAAAAGACTAGTGCTGCCATGCTAAGGGCCCAGTTCCTACATCATATAGAACGGACCACCTGATGGTGTCTGCAGGTGGCCCTCTCTTGTGGAGCACAGTGACTGGCTGGGTAGAAAAGGGCTGAGACGATTTTTAGGCATCCTGCCCTGAGCTGTATAAGGCTCTCACCAGCACCAGCTCCCAGAACTTAGCTTAGTAGCTAATTCAGTACAATTCTTTCAACAATGGTGTAACACGGTGGAGATAGCTTACCTCAGTGAACAGCCAAGCCACTGCATTTTGCACCAGCTGCAGCTTCCGGGCCAAGCTCAGTGGGCAGCCCCTGCAGTTGAAACAGAAAAAAAGACAGTATATCATTTATATATAGCAATACGATATAAAAATAATATTAAAACCATACTAAAGATCAAACAATATGCTAACAGTAATAATAATAGCAGCAGTTAAGCATTTCACTTTTCCTTATCCAATTCCACCAGCCATCCATCTATGAAATCAGGCAACTGTATTGTCAAACAACACAGCTGGCCTGCGCTTGGAGGATGGCTATTAATCACTGCTCAAAAGCCCAGCAGGTTTCCCTTTCAAGTTTTTTTTGTGTGTGTGTGTGCAGCTTCTATTCATTTTTGAAACACAGTCGAGTCATAGAAGCACCATGAGGGATCTCAGGCATAACCTCACTTTGCCTTCGCACTCCCTTTTAAGCTGAATCAAGACCAGAAACCCCAAAGTGCCATCCATTCACCCCACTGCATCTTCTGTGAGATGCAGTCTGCACATCCACTACTCTCTATTACTATTTGCTCCTTTTGAAGCAACCATACTTTCTGCTTCCAAACCGAAGAGGGATAAAATGATATAACTATTTACATATGAAGCTGTTTTCTGTTTCTTTATTTTACCTAAACAAAACAAAAGAAAGTTGTAAAGTGGAAATGTAAAGTAGTATATTCTGGATCCCCCCCCCCCCGTGGCTATAAAAAGACAACCAGGTTAAGCAAATATCCAAATGCTCCCCCCCAAATAAATGCATGGTATATCAAAGGCATCAGAATATGCTTTGCCATTGATCTGCATGAGATAAATGGGTTTATGGAGGTGGCCTTCCGCATAACAAAAAATACTTTTAAGGAAAAGTGGGACTGAGTTTTTAGGGATGCACGCTCATCTGCTTAATTGTTCGTTTTTGGCTGACTCGTTCTGTTTCTTTTACATATTTCCAGATGCTTGCCTAGTGACTGTGTGGGGTTAATTGAAAAACCCGTCGGCACGAAATCAGGTGACGTTGCTGACACATCACCAGTTTGGACCAAAATGCAGATATTCAGAACTGCTGCAAGATAATTGGAATCAGATGTCTTTTTCCCTACCCTAAGCCTAAGGCATTTTGGTTGCTTTAGCAACTTATTCCCCTTGCTTCTCTTCTGATGTCATTCTTGGACTGCATTGCTTTGGAACGTAGTGGCAGTGGCTGCCAGGATACGGAGGTGTACGGTGGCTGGAAATATAGCCTGTGTGGAGACACACACACAGCCACTGGGAGGCTGAGGATGCAATCCTGCCAGCTAGTCATAACTTCATTGAAAGCAGTGGAGTGCAATTGGGGTTATGACTGATGCTGGATTGGATCCTGTCTGTCTAAGACCAGAGATGGATGTTGGTTTGGTGATTTTCAGAGTTGAAGGTGGCATGGTATAGCTATACCACTATGATAGAACCAGACCGCCATTTCTCATGCTGTACATACTTTGTCATGGACTGGCTGGGTGCAGAGAAGTGCTGGGAGGCACCAACTGGGGAACCCCCAAGGGAAGAAGGCTCAGAGCCAAGGGACTGGTGGTGTGACAGTGATGCGTGGTCAGAGGGAGAAAAGGGAGAAGAAGGAGAGGAGGATGTGTCAGGAGCTGAAGAGGCAACGGGGTTTAGTGAGCAGAAAGAGGCTGTGGCAGAGGGCAGTTCAGATTCAGAGACAGGAGAGTAGGAGGGCCAAGAGACAGAGATACGGCAGGCTGCTGAAGAATCCAGGGAATCTCATCCTCCTGCTGCAACCTCAGGTCTCCTAGAACACAGAGAAAAATGAAGAGGGCAAAGCAATGAGAGAGAAAACGATGGAACCTTAGGTTGCTGGGGAAGGAACTGCGGGAGGAGCCTTAGAGAGCAGTGGGAAGGCCTTTGGTCCTTGCAACTGCTTCATGGGGGCAAGACCTACCCTGGGAACGTTTGTTGCGACCACTAGGACTGAGCTGTTTTGTTTCTTTGAATAAAGAGTTCACCGACATCTGGCACTTTATTGTTTTATTGCTGACCTATGCCTGACTCCAGCTCCTGACATACTTTCTCCTTCTCTTTCCTGTGCTACTATTATTTCTGGTCAAATAGGATGAGGAGGCTTTTGTGGTGCATCAAAACCTTGCAGCACTTGTTGGACCAAAGGTAATAGTGGGACAAAATAAACCAATGTATACACATTGCTATGGGCACTGATGTCTTGATCATGCCAACTCTCTTAAAAAGCATTGCCTGTTTCTTGAGAGGCTGGATTTTAACTGTTCTATGAAGGCAAAGATATTGCTACATTTGAGTTCTTTGTCACCATGAGCGGCAAACATATACAGTGGTTCCTTGGCACTCGAACGGCTTGGCTCCCGAACAAATCGGCTCCCGAATGCCGCAAACCCGGAAGTAAGTGTTCTGGTTTGCGAATGTTTTTCGGAAGCCGAATGTCCAACACAGCTTCCGAATGAGTGAAGGAAGCTCCTGCAGCCAATCGGAAGCCGCGCCTTGGTTTTTGAATGGTTTTGGGAGTCGAGAACCAAGGTACCGCTGTAATCATCTCAGGACGGATGCCTATTTTCATTTGCAGGGTGTGTATGATGAGACAGTCTCGTGGCGTCCACACTGCACAATTATCATGCCATCTTTCCTTATATTTAGGTATTGTTGGACTACACCTCCCATCTTCTCTGATCATTGGCCACGCTGGGTAAGGCTGATGGGAGTTGGAGTCCAACACCACCTGGAGGACTGACATGCTGGCTACGTAGGTTGACTTGGCATTTGGCTCCTGAGATTGCTTTGCCGTGTGTCCCGCTCACAACCCGCATTTCCTGCACCGCTTTTAAAGCTGTCTGCCAGCAGCTGGGTTGCAGAGCGATGATGCGGGAAGTGTGGGAAGAGTTCCAAGCCGGCACATGGCAAAGCAATCATATAACTGCTTGACTGCATGCTGAACTTAGGGCAGCGAAATTCAACCCACATTCCTCATGGGCCGATCTGGTTGTTCGAGTTGGCCCTAACACTGATTGATAATAAAAGGGGGAAGGGGAGTTAAGAAATGTTGTGCTTCCAATCCATTCAAAGGGAGGAAACTGTTCTTATTGTGTGTGAAAGTACTGAATTTTACAAAAGTGCTGTGAAACCAATTGAAAACTGAGATGCCTGCAAAGTATTTATGCCTGTTTGCATGACAAAGGACTGGTCTCTCAATTTCCTTTTTACATGGGGAGAAAACCACTAAGAACCGTGCAGTCTTGAAGGACTTAGTCCTTCTCCAGCAACCTTGATATATTTATTGCTCCAGCTCTTCATGTTGAGGAGAATATTCCCCATAGGTAAAGCAGTTCTCAAATAACACATGCGGCCAATTACAAAACGTCTTGCCTCTGCATTCACTCCCAACATTGCTGTGACTTTTAATTATATTGTTATAAGGTTCTCGCTTAACCGCAACATGTAGGGCACACATTTTCTCGTAACACAGGAAACGATAAGCTTTAAATGTGTCTAGAAATCACACACGAGTCTCAGTGGAATGTGAGCAACCGACAATACCATTATATTTTCACATGTGTATTACGCGTTCTCTACTGCAAAACTATATGCATGGGGAACTGAGAACAGGACTCTCGCTGGCGTTGTCATCTCTTCATCTGGCAAATCATGAGCAGGCCAGCCATTCTGGCCAAAGCATCCATGGTGGTGTGTGGGAAGTTGGGTTGCCATATGTCCTCTTTTCCCAGGACATGCCCTCTTTTTTTCATGGGTAAATAAAATGAGAGTTGTCACAGCGATGTGTAGTTAAAAGTAGAAGTTAGCAAATGTGTCTTCTTTTTCGCTCTTCAAAATATGGCCACTGAGAAGTAGCTTGCTGATGAACAGCACTGAGGTCGATGTACATTTTTATGCAGAGGGGGTAGTAGAGCCTTGTAGCTAAAATAGTAAGCTGTGAAGGAAGAACGCCCTGGTTCAGATTTCACCCCTGACATGAATTCACTGCTTTGGGAAGGCAAAGAGGACAGTTTCACCCCCCATTCACATGTTTAAATCTTGCTATCTGTCAGGCTTCAGGGAATCCTATCCCCCTCATGGTGGCAACAAAGAAGCAGATAAAAAAAAGATGAGTTCTTACCAATTAGTTTATTCAATATTCACAGAGAGAGATGAAGGAAAGCAGTTTCTCTTAGATAATGGTGTTGCTCCGAGTAAAGTCCCACCCCCTCAGTCTCTCCTATTCTACGTCACCCCTGCGCCGGCTGATCTATGCTTTCTGCCTCTGAGCTTTCTGTTCTACTACAGTGGTACCTCTGGTTGCGAACGGGATCCATTCTGGAGTCCCTTTTGCAACATGAGCAGAACGCAACCTGCGTCTGCACGTGTTGCGATTCTCTGCGTCTGCGCATGCGTGTGATGTCATTTTGCGCATCTGTGCATGCGTGAGTGGCGAAACCCGGAAGTAACCCTTTCCAGTACTTCCGGATCACTGTGGGACGCAACCTGAAAAAATGTATCATGAAGCAAACGCAACACAAGGTATGACTGTACTCTCAATGCATGCCTGGTCCTGGGAGAGCAGGGGTGGGGGGGGGTGAGTCAGGAATGCTATCCAGAGACACTGATTCTGTAAGCTATGTCTCCCCTGATGCTTCTTCTTCCTGGTGCTCTCCCAATATTTCCCAGCTTCTCCCCTCTGCAGCCTCTGAACTGTGACCTTCTGCAAACCACTGTTCTAAATCTATACTGTCCTCCTCTTCTTGGAAAGGTGCAGGAAGCAGGGGGCGGTTCCCACCATTCCTCCTCAGTTCAGTCTCTGACACTATCATTCTTGAGGAGCACAGTTTGCTTGTGCTCTTTGGGAAGGGCACATAGCTGAGTGGTAGAACACATGCATTGCACATAACAGCTCCTCACCCCCCTGAACTCCTAGAGAGCCACTGTCACTTAAGAGCATACAAGACTGGGCTAGAAAGAATACTGAAGAGGAAGCTGTGGAAGCCAGCTTTTGAAGAGTCCATCTCTCCTGACCCCTGACTATTGGCCACATTT